CAGGGAGGTTGGCAAAGGGAAAAACATGCTCATCAAACACAACATCCCGAGAGATGTAGACACGATTAGTGGGAACATGAAGACATTTGTATCCTTTATGAAGAGAGCTATAACCAAGAAAAACACACTTCTTGGAACGAAACTCGAGCTTACGCTTGTTATATGGACGGAGATGGGGCCAGCAAGCACACCCAAACACCTTGAGAAATGTGTAGTCCGGTTGTTCATTAAGGAGAACTTCAATGGGAGTCTTCATATTCAAAATACGAGTGGGAGTACGATTGATGAGAAAACATGCAGTGGTGAAAGCATCACTCCAAAAACGAAACGGAACAGATGCATGGGCCAAAAGAGTCAGACCAGCTTCAACAATGTGACGATGCTTACGTTCTACTGAACCATTCTGCTGATGTGTATGTGGACATGCTAAACGGTGAGTGATCCCAAGCGACTGAAAGAAGGAGTTGAGGTTGCGATACTCGCCACCCCAGTCTGACTGAACATGAACAATTTTGTGCTTGAGAAGGCGTTCAACATGTTTTTGGAACTGAACAAAAATGTCAAACACATCAGATTTACGTTTGATAAGATAAAGCCAGGTAAAGCGGCTGTAAGCATCAACAAAACTGATATAATAATTATGACCACTAACAGAAGTCTGAGCAGGACCCCATACATCTGAAAACACAAGTTCTAAAGGATGTTTCACCTCACGACTGGACTCCGAAAAAGGAAGTTGATGACTCTTCCCCTGCTGACAAGCATCACACACTGCTACATCTTTATTACTAGACACATTACGAAGCTCATGACGACGCAAAACATGCCGGACAATAGGTGTGGCCGGGTGGCCAAGACGAGCATGCCACTGTGACGGAGATACTCGAACTCCACTGAAGACGCGAGCGACGCCAGGATGCTCCAGACGATAGAGACCTTGGCAAAGCCGCCCACTAAGAAGAATGTCCCTCGTGCCCCGATCCTTAATAAAAAGATCAAAAGGATGAAATTCACAAAGCACATTATTATCACGAGTGAGTTTAGGAACTGAAAGAAGATTACGTGTCACAGATGGAACTCGAAGAACATTGCGAAGTTGAAGACTCCTATTGGCATGTCTAGTGAGAAGTGATGCTTGACCAATATGAGAGATGTGCATACCTGCTCCATTGGCGGTGTGGATCTTGTCGGATCCATGGTAGGGTTCACGAGTGTGAAGCTTCCCCATCTCACTGGTCAGGTGCTCTGTCGCCACAGAGTCCATGTACCAGTGGGATCAATGGAGTAGGACTGAGTGTGTCCCTGTGGCTTCTGCGGCGGCGGACGATCAGCCATGGCGACCTAACGAGCAAAGTTGCGTGTATCCTTCCCGTCATCGCCAAGACCAAGAAAACCCCGCTGGAAGCGCTTGTGACACTTCGAGGCCCAGTGCCCATCGCGACCACAAAGCTGGCACACACGTGGACCGCCAGCCCCTGGTAGCGTCGCAGTAGGAGGAGGGGCCGAGGCGGGTGGTGGTGACTGCCCCGAAGGAGCCTTGGATGAAGCAGAGGAGCGACCACCCTTGGTGGCGGCGTTTGCCGAGAGGGCGTCGTTGCCCCTGGATCGGCGCGTCTCGACTCGTTGCTCAGTAAGCAGGAGGCGTGAAAAGACCTCGTGTGCTGGCATGGGCGTGGAGTTGCCCCTCTCATTGATGATCTCGACTAGGGCGTCATACTCCTCATCAAGACCATTAACGATAAACGAGTTGAACTCGGTGTCGGTGAGGGGCTGTCCAATGGAGGCCAGCGTGTCAGCGAGACTCTTGACTTTGTTGTAGAACTCAGTGGCGGTGGAGTCAAGCTTCTGACACTCCCCAAGTTGGCGACGGAGCCCAGATACACGAGCCTGCGACTGTGCCGCAAACGAGCGCTCAAGAATAGTCCATGCCTCGTGGGACGTCTTGGCGAAGACAACAAGCCCAGCAACGGCCGGAGAGAGCGACCCCTGGATGGAGGAGAGGTTCGCCTGATCCTGCCCTATCCAGACACGGTGAGCCGGATTATAGACCGGACCATGCACGCTGTCAACCAGCGCAGGAGGGCAAGGGAGAGAGCCGTCGACATAGCCAAGCAGGTAGTGACTCCCAAGAAGCGGAAGAACCTGCGCGCGCCAGAATATGTAATTGTCCGACGACAACTTGATGGTGATGAGATGGCCGAAATGAAACGGCGGCGGCGGCTGCGATCCCATCGAGGAGACTGGCTGAGGTGAGAACACCGTGGAGACAGTCGGAGGGGCAGCCGGCGCGGTGACAGAGGGCGCGATGGCCGCGGTTGACGCCGCGAAGCCTGCCAGCGCGACGTCCTCCGCCACCAGCGGCGCAGTGGCCGAGGGCGCGACAGCCGCGGTTGACGGGGCGGCGGTGGTGTGGGCCACAAGCGCCTGCCCGGGCGAAGTAGCAGCCGGCGGAAGCGCGAAGAGGGAGCCGACGCTCCGTGTCCCGATCGGCGCCTGAAGGGAGGCGGCATCCAGCGGCCTCGAGAGAAGTGCCGCGAGGGAGGCCGGCAGAAAACCGGTGGCGGTGGAGCCGGACGCAGCGGCAGACGTCATAGCAGTCGGGCGACGGCGGCGGCGGGCGCGGCGGCGGCGGCGGTGGCGGCGGCGGCGGTTTAGGGTTTTTAGGCGGAAGCGGACGTAACCTAGCGTGATACCATGTAAGACAATAGACTTTGAGGGGAACCGGCATAACCCTCTAGGGATGGCCTATCATATATATATATAATGAGGTGGTATACAACGTTACAATATACACATGTAAATACAATCTAACAGCTGTGCATGGTTCCGTTGAGCGGGCTCCATTTTCTTTTCCCATTGAGGACTGACTGTGAAGCCGGACGGACGTGGACGTGGACGTGGACGTGACAGGAATGTTTGCCTTGCCTCGGGCTCGTCCTGCTCTGCTGCTGCTAAACTGCAATCATCTCTCTTTGTCAACAAGAGGATTGTAGCCAAGTCGGGTGATGAGATGAGAGTGTCATCATCTCTTTGTACTGGGAATCCATCCATCACCCTTTTCTCGACAATGAGCACACAATTGATGATGCCACTAGCAAATGTCCAACCCAACTGCTCATAAAATATGGTTGGCACTGTTGATGGAAGTGACCACCGTATAGGGGGGAGAGGAATATACCGCAGGATGGTAAAGTACAAAGAGGAAGGGATGCTAAGTACAGTGTTGATTAGTACTCCTAGCTGATTGATGGACAGGTGCCTCCGCTGCTGTGTTGGTGTTGCTGCTGTGGGCTGCAAGGAGATTTGGATCATGCCCAACCCAGATTATATTATACTAGTACCTGTATCTAGATCACTCCTTCCTAGGCTCATCATAGAATGTAGCAGCTTCCACTGAAAGACCATTGGTTGTCTGTCTGATTTGGTCCCCCTGTGTGTGTTGATGGCATTTTACGTATGTGTGTGCTTGTTCTAATCTCACTCATGATAATTCATCTGTTGCATCGCCATGATTTTTATGCACAAACACTGCCGATGGATGTAGAATTTGTATCTGCTCATGCAAGTTGATGATCTGTACTGGCATATAATCCTATATGCATGCAGTATCTCCTAATGAATCAGCCCAATTATGCAGACAAGGCAAGATGATTTTTTTTATTACTTATTTTTTTTAAAAGGTGTGTATTATATTAAATAATCAACATAGGTTCATTACAATCATCACCGACCAGTCGCAACACGCAGGCTGGAACTGAACCGATCAACACACCCTTACTCACACCACTCCTACCCAAACTAGCGAGAGCGTGGGCAACCCTATTGCCATTTCTAGAGATCTTATCAATAGTAAAATCAGGAAGTTGGCCCAGCAAACTCTGAATTTCCCTACACAAGCTACCAATGGGAGATCTATTAAAGTCCTTTGAAGAAATTTGTTGGATGACATTCACACAGTCGCTCTCAATAACTACTGGCTGGTCTATGAACTGCATGGTATCTCGGATTCCTTCAAGACAGGCTTCAGCTTCGGTCGCCTCAGCACTAGCGCAGTTAGTGATTGTGTTCCAAGCAGATCCAATCACCGCCCCATTTGTATCTCGTAGAACAGCCCCCCAAGCTCCATGGTTTGTCTCCTGAATAAAGCTTGCATCAACATTTAGTTTGAGCCAACCTGAGTTAGGTCTGGCCCATTGATAATCTGCAACTCTCTGTTTAGTCTCACGGAATGAAATGTCTGGCATCACTTTTTCTTTTCCTTTAAAGTCAGGTAGCGACTGTCCCGATCTGATCGCCGCATAGGAGCTAGCATAACTTTCTAGGAATTCTGCTGATGCCTTTATTGTATCTTTCCCGTCACCAAATATAATGTTATTTCTAAGGTGCCATGCTCGCCACCAGATGAAAAGGAGGTGTGTACGCTCCTCCTCATTCGCCTTATTACTTAGGTGCTGACACGACAAGTAAATATATTTTTGATAAATGAGCCACATGAAAGTTTTTTTTGGTTTTGTTTTTTGAAACCAAAGCCAGCCAGCCAGCCACCTGGAAGTAGATGAGCTGCACCAAGATCAAAGATCACGGGAAAGGCTCCTGACATCCATCTGTCAAAACAGAGTTTCCTGAGCAGGCCATGCTTCGGACTTGGTGAGGCCTTCATTAATTATAATTATATATAACAACAATAAAACAAACAATATAAAGGTGAACCAATCATAAAAATCATTAATAAAGTGACAAACCATTAGACAACAAAATCAAGTCTATCCAAGTTGTCATGCAGAATTATGGAACCTTCACTACTCGCTATACAAAAGGCAATAGTAATAAATTAGAGTCAGTGTTGCATTCACTATCATTCTGTGGCTTACAACAAATTACACTAATAGCTACCAGTTACAATGCTCTGATGCAATGACCAAGCACGCACAAAAACTCCGCGGTTCACAGTTCCAATCAGCTCTCCTCAATCTCTGGATAATTTGACAAACTAAGGTGAACTAGACTTGCAGTAAAATAGTGGCCACAAGGGCGCCAAAGCAGACGGCTAGGCTAAGCTCCAGTCTGTTGTGGTTGACACCTGAAAAAAAGGGATAGTCACTTTTACAGGCTCCAGAATGCACCACGACGGAGAAAGAAGAATATTTTAGCTTACCGTTTTGCGCCGATGTTGCTGCAGGCCTCTCTGGGATTATAGGTCCAGGAGCAGCCGCTGACAAAATTACCAAAAGTCAAGTGAAAGCCCATCTTCAATAAAAGCAACAAAAACAGCAGGAAGCTTGTGACGGATTGCAACTGTCGATGCACATTGAAGTACTCCAATGACACAACCACTTGGCTCAACTGTTCGCAGCACACAACTTTACAGCCCAGATGAAAGTTGTAGGCAATTTATAATAAAAAAAAGGCATAATGATAATGATTTCATTTCACGTTATTTCAGCAAAAGAGAGATAACATACTACAGCAGATTTAGATAGAAGATTTCAATTTGTAAGTAGCCTACTCTGCTGAATAGTTTAAATTTTGAGAAACAACCACAAGAGATCAAGTATGTAAACAACTGCATAATCAGCACCATAGGTAGATAACATACATTTATTGCATGTCGAAGCCGATGCTTGCAAAGAAGGCGACCATGGGGCAGCTATGTTATCATTCAGATCACATGTGAAACTAATCCCAGAAGAAGGGTCAAATGATGCATCAGAGGGCATACTTGGAAGAAGGCATCCAGATTCTGCATCCAACCACAAAGCACGGATCAGCAACAATATATCAAGCCTAGTTTCTCAAGCTGTTTTCAAACTTATGGTGCGAAATTCAATGTAACTAGTAAGGCCTAAAACTAATATCCCAACCAGTCTGGGCAGTATAACAGAACTAACTTGTTTGGGACTAAAGGCTTTGTTGTTGTTGTTATATAACTGGCAGCTATTTATCTCAGTGTATTGGTTTCTTCTTAGTAGGAATTAATATGAGCATATTAAGAGTTTAAGATTTCAACTTATATATGTCTTTCCATCTCTGGATGGTAGCAAGTGGAGTCCTCTCCCGAACTGATTTGAGACTAACTACAATTCCGTATTGAACTGATTCATACAGCTCTTTTTAGTCAGAAATGATTCATATGGCTGATTAGAACAACAAGAGTTGGCGTAGGCTAGAGCTGAAACCCTTTTTTTTTCGGAAAGGAGGATTACCCCCGGCCTCTGTATCGAGCGATGCACACAGCCATTTTATTATATTGTTCAACAGAACCCAACAAAACAAATACATGAATCAACCCAAAGCCAATGTCCTGGCAACAATGTCGCTACACCTAAAGCCCTGACCTCGCATCAACACACACCATCTAATCCGGTAGCCTCATCAGGCTGCCTGCCGGCAAGCCGAGAGCAACCAGTCTAGCTAGAGCCTCTGCGCGCACCGCATGCGCACCCTAGAATCAACCGCCACCATCTTCCCCCGTCCCACCTGCAGGAGCGGTCAACGCATTCACCTCGCCAGGCCATTCTGCCATTGACGTCACCACGACGCCAGACAACGCCACCATCCTGCGTGCGTCCATCAACATGTGTCTGTCGCCGAGACTCCGCTGCGGTAGATGCAACACCGCTCCTCCTCTTGTCCCCTCCAGCCAGCACCTGCTCCAAAACGTTGCCCCCGGAGGAACCGCCAACGTCCGATCCGGGAGACCCAGATCTAGGGTTTCCCCCGGAGCATCCGGAACGAAGTGATGACGGTTGCAACCAACGATGCCTTCTACAAGGAGACGACACCTAAGATGCCGCCATCGTCCCCCATGACCGAGGTCGACACAAATTTCGCCAGCAATCGAGGCACTCCAAACCAGCAGCAGGCCAGATGAGCTATGCCGTGACAGCGCACGCAGCCGTCAGTACGCCAGCAGGGAACCAGCAACCCTCGCTTATCCCTCAACGCACCGCCGACCGACCATAGGCAAAACCGACGACGGATCTGGGTGGGGATCAGATCCACGGCCGCCACCGCGCCCACCATCGCCTGAGACGTGCGATATGCGGGCTATGGAGGCTAGCACGGCCACGGCATGACCAGGGGCGCTGCCCTGGCCACTGTGCGCAACTCCCCCTAGGCCACGCCCCAGCCACACCAGGAGGTCGCCGCAGCATCAAGCCGCCACCGCGACAAACACCGGAGGCAGCAGCAGATGGGAAATCAGCAGCACAATGAGGTCTCTAGCGGCACTAGGGTTCGCCCCTGGCGTCGCCCTGGGGAGACGACGCGAGGGGGTTGCGAATCCGTTTCTCTTCGTCTGTTTTGACCTTTTCCCAGACGTTTTGAAACCCATAAGGCCATAAGATCTCGAAACCAGGCCATGGTTCTGGCACATGGATATTTAACTTCCATGCACCCATGTCCATGGCTAGTTCTTTGGTGCTATTCCAATCGTTCAAATCTCTCTTTACGGACTCCTCCTGTATCAAGTTTGGTCTACCCCGACATCTCTTGACATTATCAGCACACTTTAAGCGTCCGCTATGCACTGAGACTTCTGGAGGCCTGCGTTGTATAAGCCCAACCCATCTGAGACGATGTTGGACAAGCTTCCCTTCAATCGTGCTGCCCCAACTCTATCACATATATCATCATTCTGGACCCAACCCTTCTTGTGTGGCCACATATCCATCTCAACATGTGCATCGCTGTTACACCTAACTGTTGGACATGTCACCTTTTGGTTGATCAACATTCAGCACCATACAACATTGCAAGGACGAATCGTTGTCCTATAGAACCTGCCTTTTAGCTTTTGTGGCACTTTCTTGTCACAGAGGACACCAGAAGCTTGGCGCCACTTCTTCCGTCCAACTTTGATTTGATCGCTCACATCTTCATTGATATCACCATCCTTCCACGACCCCAAATATCGAAAGGGTCCTTTTGAGGTGTCACTTGCCCATAAAGGCTAATCTCCTCCTCCTCCTCCTTGTGCCTAGTATTACTGAAACCGTACCTCATGTACTCATTTTAGTTCTACCAAGCCTAAAACCTTTCGATTCCAAAGTCTGTCTCCACAACTCTTAACTTTCTAATAACCCATGTCTGACTATTGTTGACTAGCACCACATTATCCGCAAATAGCATACACCATGCGATATCTCCTTGTATATCCCTTGTGACCGCATCCATCACCAAAGCAAAAAAGACAATGGCTCAAAGCTAACCCTTGGTGCAGTCCTATTTTAACTGGAAAGTCATGAGTGTTGCCATCACTTGTCACAACATTATCCTACATGTCCTTGATAAGGGTAATGTACTTTGTTGGGACTTTGTGTTTCTCCAAGGCACACCACATTACATTTCGCGGTATCTTATCTTAGGCCTTCTCCAAGCCAATGAATACCATATGCAGGTCCTTCTTTTGCTCCGTGTATCACTCCACAAGTTGTCGTACCAAGGAAATGGCTTCCACGGCCGACCTCCTAGGCATGAACCCAAACTGAATTTTGGTCACACTTGTCATTTTTCTTAAGCGTTGCTAAATGACTCTCTCTCATAGCTTCATTGTATGGCTCATCACCTAATGCCATGGTAATTAGTACAACTTCAAACGCCCCCCTTGTTCTTGATTGGTACCAATATACTCCGCCTCCATTCTTCGGGCATCTTTATGATCACAAATATTTTCCCTTTATTACTTTACATCTAAATGATCGCAAACATATACTACAAGCTGATCAATCACATTTCCTCATTCCGATTTCCGCCTTTAGGAAAGGAATCATGGTTTACACCCTTATAAAAAATTGTGACATGGTTCATGGGTGGCGGCATACTCTCCGGATAGGCCCCCCACCTACTTCGCTTTAGGCATGGTTTTGGTTTTTTATGACTTTGCTAGATGCCGGCATTTTGTGTGTCTGTGTGTAGCCGTGTGCATCCTAACTATGCAAAGGTTGGATGTGTCTCATTTCTTGTATTCTCTTGATGCGACAATATGAGTCAGTAAAAGCGCTCTTTATCAGGAAAAAAAAGAAAAAATGTGACGACTTGAAATTTATATCGCTGGCCTCCTATTAATACATATTTATCTGGCACAATGTTTAACATATACTGTTATTTTTTATTAGACTCGGTATGTTTGAAAATACAAGCATGGTGAGTACTGAATACGCAACATTAGTCACATTGCAAGTAACACCGTATTCGTCAAAGCGTAAACAAAATGTGGTATGACACGCAAAAAACGTTAATATTTTTTCTGAGAACAAAAAAAATGCATACTAGCCAAAATATATATAAAACAACTTGAAATGCCAAATTACCTTGAGATCCAACTGCATGCCAAATCATAGGGGAGTCGGTCAAATGCACATACCCAAGACAAAAAAAAAAGATCAAGAATTCAGTCATTACAGATACATAAGATGCAAATTAAAATATGACTCTACTGCAAGTATCTAAGTAAAATATACTGTCTAACTTACCTTGAAGTGAGAAATCCTTCAATGTTACTTGGCATGAGCTATAAACATTTGTGCTGACCTTCATATCTTGTAATTTTGCCCCAAGGACTGAGGCACAATTCAAAGCTTGCAAATTTGTTATGAAACTTTGCTTTTGCAAGTGAGATACGTAACTGTCCATCGCCTTGCAGCATACAGTAATGTTTTTAACTGTACCACCACACTCCTTTGCAACCTTACTTGTGTCTGGGAAGCTTAGTGGGCAAACTGGAAGGTTCAAATGAAAAAAGAAAATCTCAGCAGAAATGCTGCTGCCAGTGAAGAATTGAGAATAAAATTGAACCTAGCACCTATTTAAATAAATTAGAAACTAAATACAAATATCCAGGTATGGCACCTGTTCCTCAAAAGGCAGAGTACAAGAAACATTTTTAATCTGACAAATATACATTCATGGCAATTCTGATGTATTACTGCACTAATAAATATTTTATTCTTTCGATCTAATTGATATGTTCAAGCCCTGTCACACCCAACACCTTGCTGGTAATGGCCCACATATTGTGAGAACCTTGCATATTGCTAACACGAAGATTGAACTGAAAAACTCAAGCTCCTATTGAGTCATAGGCCTTAACGCAGTCAACTTCATATATGAGCAAATCATTCCATTTATCCGCTCGGCCAAACGAAAAATTCAAGCACCCATGTACACAATATTTGGTGTCTTGCTTTAAATTGCGATATTTTTGTCTGAGCAAATAAAGTATGGTGGTATGGTGCTTAAAGCTAAATGTCTGTCGCAGCCTTTTCCTACCTATATAGCCATGAGAAGATTGTAATATTTCACACACACACATATACATATAGTAATGCTATGCATGGGTATTATCTTTGTGCTCCAACAGTATGTTCTATGGGGCTAGACAAGTGGAACTGGTGACACACTATCAGTTTAATGGGTGCAAACATTGGCTTTCTGTTACAAAATTCAAGTAAATCAATCTGCCTGCTCAACAGGATAATGACATAAATGTATGCAGTCGTTCTAAAAGACTAAGATCTACTGACTGATGGGATGATAATTCAAATTTAAGCAAGTTATTAGTTTGAATGTACGTACCTCCATTGACATTACAGTTTGATATCTGCCTGAGCATTTTGGTTGCGGATGATGGCTCAAGCCTGCTGGATAACCATCTAAGTACAACGTTCCTGCAACTGTCAACTTTGGGACTGGCAGTGTCGCTTGTCAACGCAGCGTCCTTGGAAGAGATTTTGCGGGCAGCATCACTTATAGCACTCTGGCATGTCTGGCTGCAGCACTCGTTAACAGGATCGACCTTCCGGCAGGCCTCGAGGAGCTTTGATGAGTCGACGACGCTCTCAAACGCATCAACGGTGCTAACGGGGCACGACCCCTCGGTGGCATTGGAGAGGTGGACGGAGCAAATGCTGCGGAGATCATCACTCGCGCCCTGGCTCATGAGCAGCTGCTGGACGTCAGAGAGACAGTAGTTGGCAAGAGTGGGATCCAAAGCGAGGGACCCCGTCTGCTTGCTGGACTGTCCTATGAGGATGGTGAGAGTGGCCTGGAGCTGGGGACAGCAGATGACATTGGCGAGGAACGGAGCGAATGAGGCGAAGCAATCGACGGCCGTGGTGGTCATCAGGCCATTGATGGCAGTGAAGTTCAGTGAGCATTTGCCTGCATCGAGGGGGAAGGAATTCAGTTCACAGCTTAACCTGACACTGACAAAATCGAAATAGAAATGTGCAGTGAGTTGGGACCTGACAACTTGGGCGTAGAGTTGTTGTAGAAGGGCGCGAGAGGGGCAGGCGCGAGGAAGGGGACGAAGGGCTGGGGGGAGCCGGTGGGCGAGAGCTCCGGCATGAGGCCGCCGCTGTCGTCATCTTCCTCCGCGTGGTCGATCCGGTGGAGCACCGGCGGGCCCTGAGCAAATGCCTGCCCGGAATTCCCCAACAGCCCATGTAAACCTGCACATTGACAAGTTGGCAGCCCAAATCAGTGGCTTGTTCCCGCAGCCAGGATTTCCGCAAACCCCGCCTTCCATGACAGATCAAAAATCGAGAATCAGCACCAACACTGGCTAGGACCAAGCATTCGTATGTTCGGCGGCTGGGCACACTTCAGTGATTTGCAAGAAAGGGAAGAATCGGAGTCTGGCTAGGCAGCAGATCAGCAGAGTGCTACTCACATAGGCAGGAGAGGAGAGCGGCCGCCACGGACAGCCGGCCTGCGGGTCCCATACGCCGGCCGTAGCGCACGGCGAAGGCGGCTGCGGCTGCGGCAACGAAGAGGAGGAAGAAAGAGCAGAGGCCGGAGAGGGAGGGACGGAGCCGCTGCTTGTGTGTGAGTGTGAGAAAAAAAGGGAAGTGGAGAAAGTGGACAGCTAGGGGAGCGCCCCGAATTGCTAGGCACACCCAGGATAAGATCTGCTGGAGCATTTGCCTTCTTGTTTCAACGCTAGTACTAGAACGACAAGAGAAATTCAAGATAGTATCAAACGTATTCTTATTTTACTTTTTTTTTAAATCTTATAAGGTGGGCCACAGACAATTTTTGTCAACTTCTCCATGAGTCAACACTTGCTTAAGTCAGCCACCTCGAGCCTCTCTACTTTATTCCTTAGGCGACAAGTTGAGTACGTAACAATATATTGTTTGACATGCCATGTGTTTCTTTGTATCATTTGACCATATAATGTACAAAGATCCTGTTTGTTATTGTAGATGGAGTAAATTTTACTATTTGCCCCTAAGCTTCTTGTTGTGACAGAATACCCCATTGTGTAGAATTTTCACATTTTACCCAATTTGACGAAACGTTGTTATATAACTTTGACGCTTTATCCCTGTCCTCGGGCTGCGCCCCGCGGCCTGTCAACAAGGCCAACATAAGGTGTAATGAAAAACTGAACCCCAAAAATCGGCCAGAGTAAGTCGTTTATGTAGCAAGCCAAATCAGCGCTGAAGCATGGGGTCGACTTGTTGGATTGGGAAAAAAATAAAAGGGGTAAAAAAGTGGCAGCAGTTTATTTAAATTGAGAAAAAATATGAAAATTCTGCTAAATGGGATATTTTCTGTCACAACTGCGAAACTTAGGGGTAAATGAGATTTACTCTATAAATTAATATCTTGTTGTTTCCTTTTGGTGATAGTATCGCCGCATATATGCTAAAAAATGGTATACCTTGAATATCCAAGATGTGTTTTTGCAGGTTATCAATGATCATGTGGCATCGCATGATTGTAAGGCTTTTACCTGTGAAGTTTATAATGACACTGCTTGCTGTTGTGGCAGATGCAACATACTTAACTTCCTACAAGATTGAGAAAGTCTATGCTCTGTTTTGAAACAAGAAGGATGACTGAATGGTTTTGCTCCCAACATTGTCTTGTCTGATCCAGCATCATTCCAGCATGGGAGTGAGTGGTATGCTTTGGGGGTACATATGCACGGGTAGACGTGAGGAAAGAGGAGTTGGGGTGCTGGGAATTGAATATCAGCATCAATGCTCTTCAATACGCCCTGCCACCACGTTGCCTTGTCGCTGACGTATGGGGCCGTGCACGCGCAGTGAATTTCCCGCGGTCGCCACCCGTTGTCCGTTGATCAGGTAGATCATGCCCACAATTACTACTCGCACTCGCTAAATATAAGAGTGTTCATTATATTAGTAGTGTCAAAAACGCTTCTATATTATACTGCTCCCTCCGTTTAAAAATAAATGATCTAATTTTATACTATGATCCAATTTTAATATAAAATTGAGTCATCTATTTTGAAACGAAAGGAGTAGGATGGAGAAGCAGTAACTTTCTACTCGCTGGAGACATGTCCCTGACAGCCGGTACCCACGGCCTTTTAACCCGGCGCTAACGTACCAGTTGGATGTTTGATGCTTCTCGATGGGGGAGCGAGCATACAGATACACCCATGGAAGTCAGAGATGACCGGCGACTAATGGACGTAACCGCTTGAGTGCCTTCAAACCAAATCAACAATATGGCCCTTTTACGGCTATATTTCTTGGGTGGTGATGTGCATGATGTTGAACTCATGTTACTAATGGAGAGAGGCCGACTGCGAAGAGCTTTCTAACAGTTCCACTATGTAGCAGCGAACCATTCACCACACAGATGCTTTGAGATCCGTGCGTGAGTGGGCCCATCCATATGTATAACCCTATATTGTGGTCGTCTATCTCTCGTATCTCTGCATGTAGTCGAATTAGTGTCAGGTTGAATGGGCCCGTATCAGCTACACAATACATACGCCTATGATTTGCGAACCAATTCGTGGTTGAATGGTTAGAGGAACAGTGACATCCCTAGCTTACCAGGATTCAAGTCCTGGTGCTCGCATTATTCCTGGATTTATTTCAGGATTTCCGGCAATGCGCTTTCAGTGGGAGGAGACGTTCCTATCGATGACGAGACGCCTACGGTGACTTCGTAAATCTCGAGATGATATGTCGACGCAGTCTCTCGGAGGTGCTTATAGGGGTAGGGTGTATGCATGTATGTATGAGCGCTTGCGTGTGTACTGTGTTTAAAAAAACATATGCATGTGATTTTGTTACAGAAAGGTACCGGTGGGCCCCACAAATACGGACAAGCTCCTACCATATAAATTTCATGGCTTTTATTTATTTTTTGATAATCTCAATCATTCAGATCTTTTGAACCAGAATTTTATTTTTTATTTTTTTATATGTTTGAATTCCTGGCGACAAGACCCTCTGAACAAGATCAATTTGTGATACAACTGAAAGTACTCTAAATTTATTATTTCAAACCATATTTCAAATATATGAAATTGATTGTTTCAACGAGCAACATGGTTATTTCAAGTATATGAAATTTGTATTTTTAAATATATGAATCAAATTTCACTATGTTTTTTAAGTTGCTTATTCCAGTGTAAGAAAATGTATTATGGGTTATTCCAAATATGTGAAATCGATTGTTTAATTGTGTGGAGGAATTTTTTTTCCACTATAATTGGGAAAAGTATTTTGATATAAGTGATTTTTACACTAAAAATGAGTGAAATATGTGTTTTAAAAGAAGTGAAATTTGTTTTTGAAACAAGCAAAGTCTATGTTTTGAAAGGAGTGGAATTGTCTTTTAAAATAAGTGAAACCGGTGTTTCAAATTTAGTGAAATTAGCATGTTTTAATGAGTGAAATCATTTAAAAATTCAGTGAAATTGTTTTTGAAAACGAGTGAAATATGTGTTTTAGAATAAGTGAAAACAATGTTTAAAATTAGTGAAATTAGTTTTTTCTAATGAGTGAAATCAATTATTTGGAATTAGTGAAACAGTCAAAATCACTTATATGAAATAGCAAAACAACCTTATGTATTATGAAAGTGATTTCAAAGATAATTGAAATATATAAAATAAAAAGTAGCTCAAATATATCCAAGATTGATCTTGTTTCGAAGTCTTGTCAGCATGAATTCAAATATATAAAAATAAAATAAAAAATTGACATTTGGTTCAAAACATATCAATCGTGCAAAATATGAGGATGAAAATTAAATACATGTCATATGTATGGGGAGAGACAACATATGCATGCATCTCTCCACTCTTAACTCTCTTTCTCTCCTCTATAAATGGCTGACACAGAACATAGTTATTTCTTATTCATATATACTCTTCAATTTATTTGTCTTTATTTAGCCAAGTTTGATGAGCGATCTCCAAGAGGGAATTGTGTTTGATAGTTGAGTTCAATCTTGAAGTAATCTACCGCAGCGAAAGAAAATGGAGAAGGCTTGTGTTGTGTTGTTGCCACTAGGGATAAACAAATGTTTGTGTAGATGTCCTTTGAACATAAGGTGAAGACAATATCTCATCTACTTCATGGCATCATACTTAATGCAACACTCCATGTTTTACTTAATACTTTAAGATGCGTGTTGGATTGCGGTCTTGAGTGGAGTATTAGATATAGATGTCGTTATATAATTGAAAGGATCGATATAATTGACTAGAGGGGGGGGGGGTGAATAGGCAACTAATAATTTTTAGCTTTTCTTTGCCAAATTAAACTTTGCATCAAAGTAGGTTGTCTAGATATGCAACTAGGTGAGCAACCTATATGATGCAACGACAATAAGCACACAAGCAAGCAAAGGATATAACACAATATAGCTTGCTCAAGTAAAGGTGAGAGATAACCAAAAGTGGAACCGATGGAGACGGGGATGTGTTACCGAAGTTCCTTCCCTTTGAGGGGAAGTACGTCTCCGTTGGAGCGGTGTGGAGGTACAATGCTCCCCAATAAGCCACTAGGGCCATCGTATTCTCCTCACGCCCTCACACAATGCGAGATGTCATGATTCCACTATTGGTGCCCTTGGAGGTGGCGACCGAACCTTTACAGACATGGTTGGGGCAATCTCTACAACTGAATTGGAGGCTCCCAACGACACCATGAAGCTTCACCACAATGGACTATGGCTCCGCGGTGACCTCAACCGTCTAGGATGCTCAAACACCCAAGAGTAACAAGATCCGCAAGGGATTAGTGGGGGGAATAAAATTTCTCTTGGTGGAAGTGTAGATAGAGGCCTTCTCAACCAATCCGTAGTGAATCAACAAGTTTGATTGGCTAGGGAGAGAGATCGGGGGAAAATGGAGCTTAGAGCATCAATGGAGCTTGGAGGTGGAAGAGGTAGGTCAACTTGGAGAAGAAGCCCTCCTTTTTATAAGGGGGGGGGGGGAATCCAACCGTTACCCCCCAATCAGCCCCGCAAAGAGCAGTACTACCGCTGGGGGCAGTGGTACTACCGCTTGGATCAGTGGTACTTCTGCTCCCCTCGCGGTACTGCCGTGCAGACAGGGAAGGCCAGAGGCGAGCAGGATCTGGACCCAGGGCGGTACTAGCAGCGGTGGTAGGGCGGTACTACCGCTTGCGAGCAGTACTACCGCCTCTACTGTCGCTGCCAGTGCCGCAAAACCCGACACGAGGCGACATCCTCGAGTCGAGGCGGTAGGAGCTCAGAACAGCAGCGGTACTACGACTGAGAGCCCCCAGGCGGTACTACCGCTGCGTAGCGGTAGTGCCGCATGTGGCTCTTGAGCAGTACTACCGCTGGGTCCGCGGTACTACCGCTGGGACCAGATTTCTCAGGAAGCAAGGAGGAATCCTCCAAAGAAGCGGGAAGGCTCTGTGGGTGCAAAGGGGATGTGTACGTGTTGGTTCCACCCTAGCCTTACCAATGCGGACCC